ATTTATGGGGTTTTGTTATTAGATTAATAATTATTTGAAATAAAATAAAAAAATGAAATCAAAAATTTTTATATGGAAAATCTTTGTCAACCACACTTTGCCTTATTCTGTCGTTTATTTTGGTTTCATAAAAAAGAAATACAAAAATAAAGTACAACAACATTGAAAAGATACTTAAATTTAAAGAAGAGATTTCCGCTTGTCTGTAATTTAAATAATTTATCTCACATTTAGATCCGACAATGTCTGTAATCAGTTTTGTAATTGAACATTTTGCTGATTCAAATACCTGTCTGAGTACGACATGTAACAAATAGTTGAATCTGAAGTTCGTATAAAAATAGCTGATCAAATTTTATAGTCAAAAACATTTGATAAACAACTGATAAGCTTATACAAACAACACAAGTGACAAACAACAATAATGACTCTCTCGAAATTAGAGTTGCAACTTCATTTCCATACTTCGTAATAAATGTTAAATATTTTTTTGTATTTCCAATCAAACCAATTAATTTCACTTTAAGCATCGGATAAATTTCTTATAAAGGACTTCTTGTTGCTCCAAGCTGTAACTCTGAAGACATTTCATTGAATGCTTTCTTCATTGATGACACCCACTCGCCGTTGCCTTTAATGAGAAGAAAACCTTTTTCAGTATTTCTAAAATAAAACATAAAAAGCTAATTACCATTCATCAAAGCACGTTCAATCATTGAATTCAGTTTAATTTGATGTTCATGGGCTTCGACGATATTTCCTTTCTCCATCAATTCAATTATCTTCAAACTTATTTCAGGATTGATATTCAATGAAGTCATAATCGCATTTGTGAAACCCAAAGCAAGAGCACCGCAAAGAATTGTGTCGGAACCGAGAAACACTTGTCCATGCTTCAGACACAAAATTCCTTTCTCAAGATCTCCCGAAGTGTACTTGATGCCAGTGAAGTTCGGAATTTCTTTTTTGGCAAGTTGCATGAAACTGGCCATTGGTAAATCAACTTGAGTCAACATTGGAATGTGATAGTAGTAAAGTGGAATGTTTGGGCAATAAACTGAAATGTCTTTCAGATAATTCACCAATTTCTCGATAGTCTTCGGTTTGAAGTAAAGTTCAGGAAGGCACAGAATTCCATCAACTTTAAGACTTGCTGCATGTTTGGTTAACTCAATAACATCTGGGAAGGGACATCCAGAGACTTGCACCATTAACAGAATGTCAAGTTTCTTACAAACTTCTGACCACTTCTCTGCTGCCTTTTTACGTTCACTAACCGACAAAAGCATTCCTTCGCCCGAAGTTCCATTCACAAGAAAAGCTTTAATTCCTTTAGACTTAAGAAGTTTTGCGTAAGGTTCAAAAGCATCGTAATTAATCTCGTGTTGGTCATTGAATGGTGTAAATGTTGGAGCTACTAAACCTTTAAATTGTGGAAATTTTAGCATGTTTGATGTTTTATTNAATATTGAACAATGAAATTTACTAAATTTATTTTATTAATTCCACTCTTGTTCTTGAATTTATATTGGAAATAGTTAAACTGATTGTAAATTTAAAGTCTTTGTAATTTTCCAAGATCAAACAAGTACAAGAAGTTGCTTTTTTTTTCAATCAAACGTAAAAATTCCGTAAAGTTTTGCATTGCATAAGAACACCAAATTTTTCATATCAAAAGGCTTCCCTCGGACAATATAAGATAATTCGAATTGTCCAGTCATCGCTTCCCTTAACAAGCTTTTTGGGAGCGGAAAAAAGGTTGGCAATTCCATGTTTCTAGTGTACCAGCTACCTTTAACTTGTGGACATGAAAACTTGAAGTTTGAAACCTCTTTCAACAAATTATAAACGATATCAATCAAGAAGTTTCCGAAAACACCTTTCGAAACTTTGCATGAGTTCACATTTGCCATTAATAAAATATGATTATATTCAATTGCGTCTTTTCTTGATTTTTCCTTAATCATTAATGTCACCACAAACTTTTCCAAGTCTTTAACCTGATTTGCAGAGGAATTGACTCTCGGCTTGCCATCTTTGTCATTGAATACTTTGACAAAAAAATCTTCTATGTACTTTGGGTCAGAGGAATAATAAGCGTTTGCCAGCCATACAAGCTTTCCTTCCTAAATATGACATAATAAATAAATACATTAAAAGTTCAATTATATGATTTATTAATTCATTTACTATATTATGTGGAAGTAGAATTTCCAAGCAAATAATTATGGGAACAAGTTCCATTCTAGAATCTGACTAAAAAATGAAATTAAAATAACATTCTGAATATTTTTATGATGTTTATTGTGGTCTGGAATTGAGGATGTTTCTTATTATATTTTAATAGATAACAAGTTGCACAGTCTGTGCTTTCATGCATTCATAATTGCAACTCAGTTGTGTTCTGGTCATTTTGCTGTTGAGCACATCGACATTCAAATATCTTTAGAAAGCTCAACATTTTCCAACCCAAATTTTTATTTTGTCTGATATTTTTATTAAAAAGTTAATGAATTTAATTATCTAAATATTTACAAAAGATAATACAAAAAATCATATCAACTGTCTTCACTCTCTTCATAAAAACTTTCAATAACTTCATTCAATAAAAGTTCTGTGACATTTTGACCAAAGAAAATGTCATGAATTCTCAGTTTTTTATTATTGAGTGAGTCATCTTCGTGGTTTCTGATGATATCTAACACACTGAACAAGTCAATTGTATGCTCAGAAATAATTTCACTTAAACTATGAATATTCTCTTCTAGGTCTTCTTCACTCAACAATTCACTAAATTCATCAAATAACAATTCAGAACTTTCTTCCAACAGAGCTTTTTCTCTTTTGATTTGTGTTGAACTTAATTTGAGCGTATTGAGTGAAGTTATATTAAAGTCATTGTCTTCCTGCTCCTCTCCAAAAAGAAGTTCTTCTTGTTCATAGTCATCATCCCACCACTTAAAAATATTCCAAAATTGACCAGAGGAAACGTGGAACACTGAAAGAGAAACTAAAATTACTTTCAAGAATGCCAATGTCATAACTTAAATTATGAGAAATGAAAAAAGGTTCGAATGACTTTTTTTAATTACTTTGTAATGTTTTATTGTGGAATATTTCAATGTATTCATATAAAAGTCTGTTTTGAACATTAAATGTCGTCGACACAAATATTCATGTGTTTGTTCATTCACAAACTTTTTTATTTATCATTATGTTGATGTTAATTAAGATTATTAATTATTAATAAAATTTATCGTTCTTTTCATCATAAGATTTTTGTTACTAAAAACTATCCTGAGATTTGTTATCCTGTTGCCTAAACTTTTTATGTTTCTGATGAGTTATTTTTTCCGATGCGATTAATATGATTCCATGAAATGCTTAAAACCATTGCTTGATATTTTGAATTAAGAATAAATCGATATTCAGATACTTGATCCGACGGAAAGATTTATTAAATATTCACTTCAAATTCTTAACTAAGGCATCCACTTGCGTCATAATAACCATCAACGTCATGAGCATCCAATGAAACAAAACTGTTCACTTTTCTTAATATCTACGCAAGCATTTAAGAGAAAAAGTTTCCTCATGTACTTTGTTTAGCCAACTTGAGAAGGTCAAGAATCCAACATATCTACATAAACAATAGCAAGAGTATTAATTATTTATTGTTTAAAGTTGTCTAAATTCACTTACGTCAAAAGCAACCAAATGCGTTATATTCATTGTGATAGATGCTTAGGTCAGTTTACGTCTCTTGAAATACGTCGGAATGTCAGACATTCTTTATCATTAACGTCTTCATAAATGAACTTCCACCTTCATGATTTATTTATATCTAAAAGAATGAGTCCAACACTAGTTTACATTAAAAGTTATTTCACTTTCACTGACATTAAATATTAAATTAAAGTTCAGCTGAAATTACTCATGCGATTATCTACAACATCTTTCACTTACACTTCTTTATTTTATTTAATTTAAAGTATAATTTAGATTTAATTAAAAGTCTTCAAAAAAAAGTAATCCAAATGATAACGAAACTCTCTTCATGTTCAGTCCTAAAAGAAAAGTTGTTCAGGGCAGTTCCATTTACTTTTAATGGATTATCTACACAGTTATTAAAGTTCACAAGGAAAAGTAAAAGTGATTATGAGTTCTATTAAAGAATGGTTTATGGAGTGGCAGAAACTCATTGAGAGTCAGACCGACCAAAGAACAAAACATTTTTTTATGATGTCGTCTCCACTTCCAACAATTTACATCACATTGTGTTATCTACTTTTTGTTTTGGTAAAATTAATTTAACATTCTGAAAGTAGTTAGAAATTAAATTGTCGAACTTTTATGCAGTACATTGGGCCAAAGATCATGGAAAATCGTAAACCTTACAACATCAGGAAAATTATTATTGTCCACAATTTGATTCAAGTCATCTTGAATGCAAAACTTTTCTATGATTCTGCAACATTGGGTTGGTTTTCGAACTACAATTGGCGTTGTGAACCTTACGATCGATCGCCTGATGGAATTCCAATGAAGGTATTAAGAAACATTTAATATTTATTAAATAAATTAAATGTTGCTTTAATGTTTAGTTAACAATGGTTGCATATTACTACTACTTGAGTAAGTTCACCGATCTTCTGGACACAATTTTCTTCATTCTAAGAAAACGAAACGATCAAGTGTCAGCTTTGCATGTGATTCATCACGGGATCATGCCATTAGGTGGTAAGATCTAAATAAACTAGTTGATTTATATAAACTTTAATTAATAATGAAAATTTTAAGTTTATTTTGGAATAAGATTCGCCTCAAACGGTCACGGTTCGTTCTTCGGATTTCTTAACACTTTCATTCACGTAGTTATGTACACTTATTACATGCTTGCTGCTTTTGGTCCAAAAATGAAGAAATATCTTTGGTGGAAGAGATATTTAACGATAATGCAAATGGTACAATTTATTGCGATCATAATTCACAGTAGTCAGCTTTTCTTTCATAATCCATGCGAGTATCCAATGTTTTATGCATGGTACATCATCGTCAAATCTTTGGTTTTTCTCCTTCTGTTTAGAGGTAAGAAATTACTTAAATACTTTTAATATCTAATAAATTTCTTTCTCTCATTATTAGCTTTCTACAAGAAATCATATTGTTCAAAGGAGCTGAGAATTAAAAGCTTTTTGAAAGAAAAGCGAATAGAAAAGTTGGAAAATGTTATCAAATCAACTTCCAAACGAAAGCAAATTGTAAATTAATTTTAAATTAGACGAATTTAAAGATGCTTCCTAACTGTTCAGTTACCAAGTTAATTATTGAATAAATCTGATAATAAAAAGAAACAAGCACCTAAACAGAAGTTTATTGATACTGATGATGAAGTGGAATAATTTATTAACTTAATAAGTGTTCAACGACTCTTTTAATCATTGGATTGTTAACTCATTAATTAAAATAAAAGAATGTGAGTAGCAAATTAGCAATTGTCGTATTCTCTAAAGCTTTTTGAAGAGTTTAGTCTCAGGATAAACGTTTAATAAATGATTAATAGGCCTACTCGACTCACAAAGTATATAAAAGAAATTCAACTGATCTTTGTTAAAACGTGAAGGAACAATGAGTGGTTGTGGCAATAATTTTTTGTTGCTGCTTTAATTTTTAGTTTTCAAACAACTATCGACTTAAATATTTATTGTTTCTTCTTTAAAACTTTGAAGCTTGGATAGGAAGTTCTTCAGACATCACTTGTAATTTTTGTTTTGTCTTAGTCTTAGGTAGGAAGACGTAAGAAGTTCAATGTTGTTCTTGATTTTATATCTTTTATTTTTGTACATGATATGTGTAAGTATAAAAAACTGAATACATTTCATTATTCTAGTTATTAACAATTCCTTAACTCTGAAACATTATTTGATGATTCCTTTCCAGTCTCTAAACATCATCAGTATTGTTCAGTCATAGAAAACATCAACAGAAATTTAGGAGTTTAATTTGGATAAAATTTATAGTGAGATTAATTTACTAAAAAAATAAATCAAAATTTCAATTAATTACCATTTAAGGTAAAAAATATAAAATAAAAATCGTGAATTAAATAAAATTCATCACTTCCTTTTCATTCAGATGAGACCCTTGGCAAATATTTATGAAGTGTGGCGTGATCTGATGGATAATAAATCAGATCCACGCGTTAAAAATTGGTTTATGATGTCTTCGCCACTACCAACTATTTGCATAAGTTTGACATATGTTCTTCTTGTGAAGGTGAAATTAGAAGTTTTAAAGTTTTATTCAAAGTTCTAAATCGTTTCATTAATTAGAGTCTTGGACCCAAACTCATGAAATATCGCAAACCATACGAACTTCGAAAATGTCTCATAATTTACAATTTTATTCAAGTTGCTATGAGTGTTGGGATATTTTACTACTGTTGTAAATTGGGATGGTTGACGACATACAACTGGAGATGTGAACCGTTTAATACTTCGCCAACAGGCGATCCATATTATGTTAGTTTATAAAGTTCATAAAGTTCAATCATAGAATTTTTAAAAACTTTTTAACTATTCTCAAACAGATCGTAGTGACATGTTATTGCTACTATTTAAGTAAGTTCACTGAACTTCTCGATACAATCTTCTTCATAATGAGAAAAAGATACGATCAAGTGTCAATACTGCATGTTATTCATCATGGGATTATGCCTGTTAGTGGTAAGTTCAATTGTTAGCTTCCCCCAACTGTTGGGTCCTCATACAATTTCTCTTACTCAAGTTTGGTTCGGTGTGAAACTTCAACCTGGCGGGCACGCAACATTCTTCGGATTCCTCAACTCCGGAGTTCACATCGTCATGTACGCTTATTACATGTTAGCAGCAATTGGTCCACAAATGCAGAAATATCTCTGGTGGAAGAAATATTTGACACTGTTACAAATGGTTCAGTTTGTTGCCGTCTTTATCCACTCAATGCAATTATTTGTGTCGAACCCATGTCAATATCCAATCATCTACTCATGGATTGTCGCCCTTCATGCTGTCATGTTCTTCTTACTGTTCAAAGGTATTTTCATTAAACTTTTAAATTATTTATATTCTTTATTATTATTTTATATTTTTTTCCACAGCATTTTATAAAAAATCGTACGTGAAAAAAGAAGAAACTGATAAGATTATTAATCGACTTTACACTGCTCAAGTTCTTTCCCCAACATCATTGAAGGAACATGACAAAGATTCTTCGATTACAAATAGAACAAATTATCAAAAACTAAAGAATGTTACATAGATTTAATGAATATAGACAAAACTTTTTTGTTCTTTATTGTAATCTTGAGGAAAATATTTTTAAAATGTTGAATTTCGTATTTTACGTGCGTTTGACTTGAGGTAGGCAAACACAAATGACATGATCTGTGACGTACTAATGGTTACGAGTTTATATAATAAAAAGTAATACTTAACTAATTTTCTATGTTGTTGAAGAGTGAATTAATAAATATTTATATCAAAATAATATTTTTTGGCTTTAGTGGTGGAATTAAAGTTTTCATTAACGATAGCACAAGACTTCAGTTATATAATTGCTTTTTGTAACAACTTTACAGAGATCAGCAGTTGAGATTGATATCTGATTTGTTATAAATGTCAATTGTTGTTGCATATGAGAAGATAAAATGCAGATCAACGTGCAAAGAATTATTTTTATATCAACTGTAACAATATTTATTTTAATCAAAGTTTTGTTCCTCGCATCTCACTTCATAAAGTCCGATTCCAAGTTATACTGCAACTTATTGAACTTAAATTTGATTTTAAACTGAGGTCAACCTTACAATATTCTCGTCGCAGCTTGCCTTCTATTGTTATAACAAAAGTTATTTGAAAACATTGTTTCAGATAAGCACAAAAAATAAGAATGAAAAGCTGATTTGACGATCATCAATTAAGTGAAGACAATTAAATGGAATTGTTGAGAAAACCAAGTTAACTAGAATTTATTCATTAAATTATCATCTTCTTTAATTGATTATGAAATATTTTCCATAATTTGTCTTTACAAACTTTTCAGGAAGTGCCACAACATGAATTCCGCAAACCTTGAACTTAGTTTTAGTGAGATAAATATTATGACAAAAAGTCTGATCTTTTTTTCCTTTCATTATATTTTCTTCACGCATCTTCAAACTTTTAAGATCATTCAAAAAATGCAACTTTTAACCTTGAATTTAAAAATATTTTTGTTGATCACATCTTCGAGTCAATACATCATAAAAAGCACTTGAAAACAAGATCACGCTGTATGAATATCAATCATATCATTATTTTAATATTACTTCTTCAAGACTTTCCGCTTGACGATCTCTTTCAGAAGTATTTAAATGATTGGAAATTTGTTTAATATTTTTCATCGTTAAACAGTCGTCACTCTAGTTTTGGTTTCATCAGTCGGTACTGGCAAAAGTTCAATTGAAGATATTGGAAAAGAAAAAAGAAAATTGAGAAACTTTCATAGCGATAAAAGTCTTTCAAGAGATAAAAATGAGAGTCTTAAATAAATTAGTAACATCGTGGCAAGATTTAATGGATAATAAATCTGATCAAAGAACAAAAGATTGGTTTTTAATGTCATCGCCATTTCCAACAATCTGCATCAGTTTGTTTTATGTTTTTGCTGTAAAGGTGAGAGTGATGTGAACTTTACAATTGACAACTTTCATTTAGAAAAGATTTTAATTGACTTTAGTACATTGGTCCAAAATTTATGGCAAATCGAAAGCCTTTTCAACTTCGAAGAGTTATCATTGCTTATAACTTCATCCAAATTTTAATCAGTTTTAAACTTTTTTATGACACTTCAACATTGGGATGGTTGACAACATACAGTTGGAGGTGTGAACCTTATGATAATTCCCCGACTGGGATACCTTTGAAAGTAATCATTTTCAATTATTTTCGATAAAACTCTTAATAACGCATTTATCTGTTAGATTGCTAGAGTTTGTTGGTATTATTACTTGAGTAAGTTTACTGAACTGCTAGACACGGTGTTTTTTGTTTTGAGGAAGCGTTTCGATCAAGTTTCGACGTTGCATGTCATCCATCATGGCATTATGCCAGTTAGCAGTAAGTTGACGTCGTTCATTAAAATAAAAACGAAAACTTTGTTGCCAGAATGAATGATTACGTTGTTTTAAGTTTGGTGGGGCGTCAAGTTTCAACCTGGCGGTCACGCAACCCTCGTGGGATTTATCAATTCGGGAGTTCACGTAGTTATGTACACTTATTACATGTTAGCAGCAATTGGCCCACAAATGCAAAAATATCTTTGGTGGAAGAAATATCTGACGATACTTCAAATGACGCAGTTTGTCATCCTATTCGTCCATTCAATGCAACTTTATATCTCGAATCCGTGTAATTGTCATATCGGCTATTCTTGGTTCATTGGAGTTCATGCTTTAATGTTCTTCTTTTTGTTTAAAGGTATTTAATCGTCGTTTTAAACTTAATCTTGTTAATATTTAATTATCTTTTCCAGCATTCTATAAACAATCGTACATATCACAAAAGGTTAAAGATGAGAAGACTGAACATTGATCCTTCTATGGTGTCATTTTATTTGAGTGAATTTTACACAAATTTAAGAATTAAATGATTAGATAATACTAAACTTCTTTTTATTTTGTAATATGAATTAACAATCGTTTTTATTAAATTTTAACATAGTTTTCATCTTATAATTAACAATCGTCTTTGTTAAAAATAAATTTAAATTCTCACTTAGATTAAAATTGAATTGAAATAAAAACTATCAAAATTTTAATCTTATGAATATTTAACTCGATACAAAATGTTTAAATTTCATATTCGTCTCATTTAGAGATATTTTGTGCTTTTTTTGCTTGTCATCTTTTGATTTAGTGAGTTTTTTTATATCGGTTCAAAAACTGGTTCCAAGCATTCTTCGTGATAAGCATTTTTGATTTGTTAAAATGTTTAATGAATGCATGCAAATTTAGGTGACACATTATGGTTTAATGGTTTAAAAAGTGTAAAGAAAATTGCCTCGCTTTTAACTATAATTGAACCCAATCAATTGTATTTCTTAAATTTAAATAATAAAGATAAAATTGATCTTTTATCTGTCAAGTTAATTCTTACAACAACATCACCAAACATGCGTTCATAGAAATGAATCCAATAATATTCAACTCAAATAAAGAAACTATTGACCCACAAAGTTTTGTTGTTAAGCACAACTTTTTATGTAATTTTGTCTTAGGTTAAGATGATATCACGAGATCGACATAATAAGCGTGTAAGTTAATAAATGCGGCAAAACCAAAACGAGTTTTCTGAACATTTTACTTCAGACGATGCCAAATTTTAAATAGGTACAATATTCAAATTATACATGTGTAAAACGTAAAGTAAGTTTAATTAAGTTTAAGGAACAACATTCTTATATTAAATTCTACAATGATCAATATTTCTTAATCGTTTTCTGGTAAATAAATTTGCATAATTCAAATTGTTTTAATATATCACCTGCTAAACTTACAAACCGCTTAACTCTTACTGATGCTTAACTATGTAAACCGTTTCGTTTTCGCATTTTTCTCCATGAAATTGATTAATTTCAATGAAATTAAAAATCACATTAAAATAAAAACTTGTTATAGATATTTCTGCTTATCAAAACCAGTCTAATTTGAGTCTTTTCAAGCTCATCTTCACACATGTGACATGCTTCCTCTCAGTCAGATTTGATATTTCAACCCAAAAACTGCTTTTCTTTTACGCTAAAGTTTTCAACTTAAAATGTGCAGATAATTATTTTTTAATATTTAATCTTAATACTTAGTTTAAGTGCTAATTTTGTCAGATAAAAATTATAATAAATACGATCAATAAGAAATTAAGAAACATCAAAACAAAAGACGACAAAAAATAAATAAACAAATTCTAATTGTTTGAAGTTTTAAAGAAAATAATTAAAATAAAAATTAGAAAGACTCTTCAAAATGTTAATGGGGATTTATAGATATCGAAAAATTCTTCTAAAGTTAGATCAATTCAGGAGACACAGAAAACTTTGTACAAGAATAATCGAAAAAACGTACTCAAAGAGCAGAATCTTCTTGAATAAAAAGAAAGTTCATTGTTAGTAATTATGAACACCTTACACAAAACTATTGTCAGCAGAAAAAAAGGGCAAAATAATTAAAAATGTAGTGGAAAATCAACTAAATATTGTATGAAACTTCATAAATATTCATTTATTAGCGTCATCATCAACGAAGTAAACAACTTCAAATGTGAAAAAGAAGTCAAAATATTCTTTGGGCTTCGTTGCTTTAAATAGTTTTCAAGAATATCTCGGTGGGATTAGTCACATTATATTTAGTAAAGTTTCAGAGAAGGTAGTGGATCCGTCTGGCATCTGATTCCTTATTAAAGATTACAAGAAAATGTAAACAAGAAATAATAAAATTTTAGTCTGTGATTAAGGAAAATCTTTAGAAAATAAATTACCTTGAAGAAATTTAAAATTTAAAATATTTTGAATATTCACTTCATTTAAATTTGTTGATATGCTTGATAAAAAAATTGTTTTATTATCTTTAGATGCGAATTTTCAACAATCTTCATGCAGCGTGGTTGGATTTGCTGGAAAATAAATCTGACCAACGAAACAAGGATTGGTTCATGATGTCGTCACCTTTCCCGACACTTCTCGTTATCTTCATTTACGTTTACATAGTGAAGGTGATTGAAAAGTTTCAATATCTAGAAAAGTTTTAAATTTTTTTATTTTTATTCAGTTTTTAGGTCCTAAATTGATGGAAAATCGTAAACCATTTCAGTTTCGCAAAATTATCATATTCTATAACTTAACTCAAGTTCTCTTGAGTGGGAAAATCTTTTATGATGCATGCACATTAGCATGGCTGTCAACCTACAGCTGGCGATGTGAACCACTTGATTCTTCCACAAATGACATTCCAATGCGAGTATGAATACAAATTTTAAAGTGAATCTTTGACTTCACATTTATGTTGCAGATTGTTCGTAGTTCTTATTTATATTATTTGAGTAAGTTTACTGAACTTCTTGATACGATATTCTTTGTGTTGAGAAAACGAAATGACCAGGTGTCAACATTGCATGTGATTCATCATGGGATTATGCCATTAAGTGGTAAGTTTTATGAGAAGATTCTTAGTTGGTTCATTAAGAAAATATTTTTGATTTGATTTAGTTTGGTGGGGTTGCAAAGTGTCGCCGGGTGGTCATGGAACATTCTTTGGATTTCTGAATTCCGGAGTTCATATCGTCATGTACACTTATTACATGTTAGCAGCAATTGGTCCACATATGCAGAAATATCTCTGGTGGAAGAAATATTTGACACTCTTGCAGATGGGTCAGTTTGTTGCGATCATAATCCACAGCACTCAACTCTTCTTTTACAATCCCTGTGATTATCCGCTTTTGTATTCATATGTTCTTCTGTTCCACTGTCTCTTATTTTTATTCCTATTCGGAGGTAAATATTTTGTTTCTAACTCCATTTCAAACACTTTTTAATCATTTTCTTTCTTAGCATTTTATAAACAATCATACACTAAACAGAAAATCAAGAACATAAATTACTCGAATGAGAAGAAGTTTGACGGTGAAAAGACTTTTAAATCCTCGGAAAACGCTTTGGGAAAAGTTGAAGGAAAAACAAATGGACGTATTGAAGATACTTATGAAACTTTAAATAATCGAGGATATGCAAAGTTAGGAAGACAAGATTCAGCTAAACTGGTTGAAAATCTTGTTAATAATTTACATTTATAATGTTAAAATCTGTTGTGAAGAAATGAATTTAAAAGTTTTAAAGGTCTTTATCAAGTTAAGAATGGAAATTTTCTTATGTTTATATAAATATGAATTGCTGACGTGAAGTGTAATAATATTTAAGAAACAATAGAAAGAGATTCGAGCAATTCAATGTTGTTCTACAAAATTAAACGTCATAGCTCATTAGTAAGAAGTTCGTCGAATGATAATTCCTGAAGATTAGAGAACTAGGAATAAAAGCGAATTATTAAAAGTAAAAAAATCTCCTTAAATCTTTTATTTCACACATCTCAACCTTTATTTTGTCTTAAGTATTGTTCGGAAGATGTTTATAAATAGAAGAATGAGAAATGAAGAACGTAAATACGTAAACATCATATGAAGTCTTTCTTGACATCAACGAACCATCAATTATGTAATGAAATGAGAATTTTAATTACTAAATAATTATTGTGCTGTCAGTTATCTTCACAGTTTTACGTAAAATATTCTTAAGGTTCTAAAACAAAGGGTAAAGTTCAAATCTGTAAGACAAAGGCCGGATTAAGGGACCAACCACTTTTAGTAAACTTTAATAAATAAGCTAAAAGAAACAACAAAAAAATTTGTCTGGTGAATCTTTTTTCCAATCATTTACTGACGACCATCATATTTCAATATACAATCTCATGTTGCTGTTAGACGCGATTCATTCATACGGCCACCCAAAAAAAATATTTTTGATTCAACATCTTAAAAAGTTTATAAACCGAAACGAAGAAGTGATCAGTCATTAAGGATACTTCGCGGAGTTTAGACGTTTTTAAGGCAACTCGCAAGTTGGAAGTTTCTAACTGAAGACTATTGAATAACAAAAAATCATATAAATAGCTGATTAAACGAGTTCAAATGTAAGATTTTCAATAAATAAATTGTATATTTGATATAAAGATAATTCAACCATTTAAAATCAGAAGAAGGTTGGAGTGAGTTGACGAACTGTGAATATTTAATGTAAATTTGTGTAAACTTACAATGAGATAAATTAAAGTTTAAAATTATCTACAACAGTGAACGAATGGAAAAGAACTTTAAAGCATAATCTAATCTTCAACATATTTTCTAGATGAGACTTTTAAACAAAATAAATACAGCATGGGTGGATTTTATGGATAATAAAACAGATCCACGTGTCAAAGATTGGTTTATGATGTCGTCTCCTTTCCCAACATTTTTTATTGTTTTCATTTATGTTTATATAGTGAAGGTGATTGAAAAGTTTTAATTTTCAAGCAAGTTTTAAAACATTTTTCATTTTAATTAGTTCCTGGGTCCAAAGTTAATGGAAAATCGTAAACCATTTCAACTTCGCAAAATTATCATATTTTACAATTTCATTCAAGTTCTGATAAGTGCGAAACTATTTTACGACGCATGTACATTAGGCTGGTTAACAACATATAACTGGCGATGTGAACCACTTGATCGTTCCACTAGTGATGTTGCAATGAAGGTGAGGGACGCAATCTTTTGATCATTTAATTATGAATATTAAGGAATTATGTTTTAATCAGATTGTTCGCGGATGTTATTTCTATTATTTGAGTAAGTTCACTGAACTTCTCGATACAATCTTCTTCGTGATGAGAAAAAGATACGATCAGGTGTCAACACTGCATGTCATTCATCACGGGATTATGCCAATAAGTGGTGAGATTTTGAATAAATTAATTTAAATGTTCGTTGATTGAAAAATATTAAATTAGTTTGGTGGGGTTTGAAATTGTCACCTGGAGGTCATGGAACATTTTTTGGATTTCTTAATACGGGAGTTCACGTCATCATGTACACTTATTACATGTTAGCAGCAATTGGTCCACATATGCAGAAATATCTTTGGTGGAAGAAATATTTGACACTATTGCAGATTATTCAATTCGTCGGTGTCATAATCCACAGCGTTCAACTCTTCTTTCATAATCCCTGCAAATATCCAATTATCTACTCATACTTTCTCCTGGGCCATGCTTTCATGTTCTTGTCTCTGTTTAGTGGTAATTATTTTTTATTATTTTATTGAAGTTGACATAAAATTTATTACTTTCATTTCTTTCAGCTTTTTACAAGCAATCTTACATAGTGAAGAAAGATAGAAGAATTGAAAATCTTCATGATAAAACATTTGGTCAAAATTATATTGATTTATCAAGCAAAAAGAAAGAATTATAGAATTTATCGCTATACGCTTGTTCAGATGTTTTAATTAGTTTAGAAATAAAAAATATTTGCTGAGATTTTTTTTGAGAAAAATTTCTTAGCGACATGATTACGCTCTGAATTCTTATCGTGATATTGTTTACTTAATTGAAGATAAAACTAACGTAAGTTCAGTGAATCGCAGTGAATCATGTGAAGTGCGAGAATATGGTAGCATCAGTGAAATATTTTGAGCCTCCAAATGGAGGGTATGGTTGGATTGTGGTGATCGGTGGACTTCTAATCAACATGTTCAATCAGTCAATTTTATCATTATTTGGATTAATCTTTGGAGGCTTTTTCAACAATTTAAATGCATCAAAAGTTCGGATTGCTTTAGTGATGAATCTTTGTAGTGTTTTCTTGAATCTCACTGGTCTGATAACAGCGCCACTTCTGAAGATTTATTCGCCAAGACAAATTGCTGTTTGTGGATCTCTTTTTGCTAGTGTTGGATTAATGTTAAGTTCTCTTGCATCAGAATTATTTCATATCATATTCACATATAGTTTTATGGTTGGCGTTGGTTTGGGGTTAATTACACCGTCAATCTTCATGGCTATTTCTCCATTCTTCACAACCAAGAAAGCAAGAGCGATAAGTATGTCAATGGCAGGTACAGGTCTTGGTCAGATGCTTCTACCACAAATTGTGAGAGTTTTACAAGCGGAATATGGATCCCAAATGACAATTTTAATCTTGGGAAGTATGTCAATGCATGGAATTGTTGGAGCTTTACTTTTCCGATCAATGGGTCATCATAAAATGCGAATCAAACGAAGTAATAATGAATGTGATGAACAATCGCCACTCCTTTTTAACGCTTCAAACTCGAGTGATGATGAAGCAGAAAATTCACAAAACGAAAATGTTTGTACAAAGATATTCGATAGAATTTATCAATTGTTTGATTTTAGTCTGCTGAAAAGTTCGCGATTTTTGTTCCTGAATTTCGGACTTGCATCTGTGTACACAGTTTCCATCGATTTCCAGTTAATTCTTCCATTTTTCCTTCAGGTTTTATTGAAAGAATTAAACGAAATTAAATAAAAACTTTCTTTATAATTTTAGGAAACTGTGAATTTGAATACAAATCAAACTGCTGTCTGCATGTCAGTCTTGGCTGCTTTTGACTTAATATCTCGGTTGACTTTTCCATTTATCCTTGAGCCTTTGAAGTTTTCATCCCGTTCAACGCTAATGATGGGAATCGTTGCACTTGGCATTGTCAGATCAGTGCTTGCTGAGTTGACTGATTACACATCTCTTCTGATTGCTTGTGCTTTTTTTGGATACTTTCGAGCTTTGACAGTGGTCAATCATATTTTAGCTGTTTCCGAATATTGTTCCGAGAACTGCCCAGCTAAACTACCAGGTGCTCTTGGATTAAACATGATAATTAAAGGTGTTGCTGTTATTACCATTGGACCAATTTTCGGATGGATTCGTGATCTCACTTCAAGTTATATTTTAAGTTTTCACTCTCAAAATATTCTAATGTCGATAGTGTTAGTAACTTGGATCATTGAGTCAAGTTTATAGTTTCTGACTGTGACAAAAATTCATTAGACTTGTCAAAATTATCGCAAAAATTAAAATTTAAGTTTCTAAATTTACTTTTGGAATTATTTATGAAATGAGTGTCTGGCAATGCCTCGATGTTAGTCGTTGTTCTGTTTTACCATTGAATAATAAGATTAGCTCGAAGCTGAAGATTAAAAACAATTAGGAAACTCCTTTTGGAATGGAATCTAAATAAAAAGTAATTTCTAAAAAGCTTTCTCAGTTTATTCAATTATTCAATTGTAAAGATCTCGAGTGTGGTTTTAATTCTTTGATAGACATCAAATGAATTCGAAGAAAGAGAAAAGAAGTTACAAGCCAAAAACAATTTTTAAATTTGGATCTCCATAACTCTTTAGCAGTAACTGTTTTCGAACTGATTCCTTCTTCAACGATTGCACTATTTAATCACCATTCTTAATGCAAAATATTAGATTTGAGAATCAATGCTAAATGCGTTAAAAAACAAAATTCATGACGTCATTTTCAAATTATTTCACTAAAAAATGAAAATTCCGGAAACCATTAAAAACCCATTACGGTATGAGTAATAACGAAAATATCAAAAAATCTCTAAATACCCTTGTTAGGGCCTTGCGCGTTCATTTTTAAAATTTTTTTCTTAAATATAAAACTATGAGTCATACCAAAAATCTTAAATAAAAATCTCTAATTACCCTTGTAGGGCCTTGCGCGTTCATTTTTAAATTTTTTTCTCAAATATAAAACTATGAGTCATACCAAAAATCTTAAATAAAAATCTCTAATTACCCTTGGAGGGCCTTGCGAGTTCATTTCCAAAATTTTTTCTTAAATATGAAACTATGAGTCATACCTAAAATCTTAAATAAAAATCTCTAATTACCCTTGGAGGGCCTTGCGAGTTCATATTCAAAATTTTTCTTAAATATAAAACTATGAGTCATACCAAAAATCTTAAATAAAAATCTCTAATTACCCTTGGAGGGCCTTGCGAGTTCATTTTCAAATTTTTTTCTTAAATATAAAACTATGAGTCATACCTAAAATCTTAAATAAAAATCTCTAATTACCCTTGGAGGGCCTTGCGAGTTCATTTTCAAAATTTTTTCTTAAATATGAAACTATGAGTCATACCTAAAATCTTAAATAAAAATCTCTAATTACCCTTGGAGGGCCTTGCGAGTTCATTTTCAAAATTTTTTCTTAAATATGAAACTATGAGTCATACCTAAAATCTTAAATAAAAATCTCTAATTACCCTTGGAGGGCCTTGCGAGTTCATTTTCAAAATTTTTTCTTAAATATGAAACTATGAGTCATACCTAAAATCTT